CCCCCCCCCCCCCCCCCCCAAAACAATAAGTACATGTCTGTTTCAGAGATTAAAAGAACTTATAAATGCACCAACAAGTATATAGATATGTAAACCACATGTGAATCATGTTGATAGTTAGTGTGACTAACTCTGCTAGAACAACTGTGTGGACTTGAGGAGAACTGGCTTCATACATCCACTAAAAATCACCAAAACACCAGTTAAAGATCTGTGTGTGAGATTCCAGCTGGATATAACAAATCAATCATCGTCGTAACTGTAACGAGATGAAGTGAATTGATGTGTGCATAATTGCATAATGTGCACTTGTAGTGTACTTCAAATCTTAAAAGTACATTTAAAAAAAAAAAAACTGTTCTTGAAGATAATACAATGATAATGAATTAAAAGGCCACTTAAGTGTACTTAAAAGAGACACTTTCATGACTATTTCATAACATTACACTTTTAAAAAGTTTTACTTCAAAGTACATCTTAAATCATAATATTTGAATAATCTATACAATATTTAAAGTGTTTGTGTATATTTTACATGAACAAAGTGCAATTTATTCATATTTCAAAGACTCTATATGAAATTATATATAAAGATGTACTTAAATCCTACTTAAGTGGGTCAAAAAAAAAAAAAAACTCACAAATTAAATAAATAAATAAAAACATGCAAGCTCAGGGTTGGTAACCAGAGTTTTGCCAGTGCAGTATGCAGACATGAATATCATGAATGTCCACTCAAACGACAACAGAATGCAATGACGAAACCCAAACCCTCTGCTACTGACTGGTGAGATGCATTAGATCTATCTAGGAAACATCTCGAATCAAAGTCAACATCTAGAGCAACATCTCAGAGTGCATGTGCTGGTTTGGCATGTGTCTTATTACAGCTGCCCCACACACTTCAGTCTTAGATGGATAGCATCATCAAATAGAGAATTAAACAGAATTTCCAGATTATTGATTTCTGACTGTAATAGGTGTATTATGTTGCAGAGCTGCATGGACGCTGCCTTCATTTCCATAATGAGGTGTCTTGCTAGGTGTTCTACATTAGGCCCTTTTTGCATTTTGCAGCGGAATCTTTATGGCAATGACACACAGTATCCCAGCACAACAGACAGGAGGAGTTATGCAAATCAGACAGACTCTAAAATAGACTCAATATTAAAGGCGCAGTGCAAACGGCACTCTCTCACACACACCTCTGTATCTGACTAACCAGACCTCAATCCCAGAACTAAAACAATGAGAAACATAACATCTTAAGTGCTGAACTCAAAGCCTTCTGAACAGTTTCCCAGCTAACATGCCATATTCTCAGAACTTTGGCTAATATTCTAGTAAGCGTCTCTCAAAGTTATGAACAAACATTAACAACTAACTTAACTACATTTAAAATAACATTCCTATAATGTTTTTAAAATGATAACAAATGAAAGTTCCTTTAATGCTTTCTTTAACGTTAGCATAACAAAAAAATAAAATAAAATAAAATAAAATAAAATAAATAAAGTTTTAAAAAGCATCTTGGACATTTTAATTTTTTTCAAAGGTAAATTTTTCATTAGTTTTTAATGTTTTCATGAGTTTTATTTACTGGGAAGGTAAGCAAAACCTTATATTTTTGTTAGCTGGGTTGCTCTATATAAAAAAAACTTTCTTGGCAGACAATTCATGAACTATTCTTCATCTTCATCAATGACATTTCCACTTCAGCAAATGAATCATATGAGTTACAATAAATAAAAGATGATTGTAAAATTGCAACACACATAAGGGAATGGATTGTTCCACATTCCAGAGTAAACTTCCATTACTACCCATTTTAGGGCATTCCAGTGTGAGTAATAGTAATAGTGAGTAATAATGCAACACTTTGCATTATTCCTTTAATGAACACAATGGAAACAGTCAGCAGTCAGTAAGCAAACACACTATTTACTTCCTTTATTCCTTTTTCTGGAATTACTGTGCATTGTACATTGGTGCAAAAAAAATCCAATCAAGTCCTGCCCTACGATATTCCCTGATCCTGATTTACTCTGACATATGCCACATTATAAAAGTTATATCAATGGCTTTTTTCATTTTGACTATAAACAGATCTTCAGTGCTGTATCCTGTGAGCAGGAGATCATGCTAATGCTAATAGGATCACAGCACTGTTTGGGGTAAACAGCCTCTAAGTATGTGTGTGTAACATCTCACATATACTTTGAGAGACCACTCCTGAAAACAAACAGCAAGTGTGCCCAGCTTCACGCGTTTACTGAGGGCATCAGGACATCCAGTCATTAGTGCACTGAGACAAACATGCATAGTGTGAATAATGTCAAGAGCACTTCGGGGGTCAATTGCATTTCTATCTGACACACTAGAGTGATGGTGCCCTCTAGGGGACAAAAGTTGCAAAGGTTTCTGCACTATGGCAGAAAAACGCACAAAACACTATGAACAGGCTACTGGACTGTCCCCCTTTAAACTACTGTAACAACAGGAAGGTTCACATTGGCACACTACCATATGACTCACACTGTTTCTGCAGTATAAAGTACACTACCAGTCAAAGGTTCGGACACACCTGACTGAATTTATGTTTCTCATAACCTTTTGGTCGAAAGCTTGTGCTGGCATACAAACAGAACTGGAACACTGCATCCCACAATGCAATGCACTCAACAAACCAACTGGAAGTAATATCAAAAACAGTGTCAACATCTCCTTCTTGACTCATTATTTGATCAGACTGCCAACAAACTTAAATGCAAAATAACTATTTATATCCAAAATGAAAACATATAACTCATGTACAGTATAGGTCAAGTGTTTGGAGTCAGTAAGATATATTTTTGAAAGAAATGTACGCTTTTATTTAGAAAGGATGCATTAAATTGATCAAACGTGACAGGGATTTATGTGACAAAATATTTATTTTTCAAATAACTGCTGTTCTTTTGAACTTTGAGGGAAAAAATGTATCAATGTTTTCACAAGAATATGAAGCAGCACAATTGTTTTCAACATTGATAATAATCAGAAATGTTTCATGAGCAGCAAATCAGTATATTAGAATGATTTCTGAAGGATCATGTGACACTGAAGACTGGAGTAATGATGCTGAAAATTCAGCTTTCATCACATGAATAAATTACATTTTACAATATATTAACCTAGAAAACAGTTTATTTCAGTGATAATAATATTTCACATTGTTACCATTTTTACTGTATATATACTCAAATAAATACAGCCTTGAGTGAGCAGAAGGGACTTCTTTCAAAAATACTTCAAAAATCTTATCGACCCCAAACTTTTGAACGGTACCGTTTAATTCTCAAAGAAAAAAAAATGCTAAAGAACATTTATCTATAAAAACCATATGTTCATTATCTACTAAACGCAAGAGCACAGCAGAGAATCTTTCAGCCGATTGAGAAAGTCCTGCTCTTACCTTTGCCTGCTGGAAAAAAGCAGTCCATCTCCACACTGCTGCGAGAGTGAGAGATACACAGAGCGCTGCTGGGCACCAATCCCTCCTGAGGGGGGGTTTTGTCTGTGGTCCGGACCAGACACCATCCCGGCCGGTCGCTGGGCCGCTCCAACAGCTCCACCGTCTGACCGGTCTGTTAATTTCATTTCATTTAATTTAATATTTAATTTAATTTAATTTAATTTCATTTAATTTTTGTTTATTTTATTTTCTTTATTATTATATATTTTTTTTTTTGCAAACCTTTAGGTTTATATGTATTTAGCTACATGTAAACACAAATCAAATACAATGTAAACAATATTGTACAAGACAGACATTAGTGTGTTACAACACACTCAAATAAAAAGAGCATTTAGTGCATTTTCCCAAAATGAGAAAAACAGAGAGATAAGAGAGATATGAAGGAGGAAGTCTTCATCTGTTAGAGTAAGGACTCTTCACAGATGGGAAACTGATTCCTGATCAGATGTGGCATTTCAGTAATGACTGAAGAGGAAACCAGTGTGTTTGGGGACATTAAGGCTGCTGCATACACTATAGAACCTGAACTCTGGTCAGACTGTACATCTGTTATCAGTTTTACAGCTCCCCAAGCTCTCAAATATTAACAGCATAAAAAGACTGATCTGAAAACATGGCTCACATGTGCATTATTGTTTTTGGAGAGTCCATGTGTTTCAACATCATACTGTAGGTGTTTAAAATGGAAATCATGACAGCTGTAAAAAGTATTACATATACGGTTAGAGGTGAAACTAGAAACTGCCTATTGGGCTGTAGTTTTCCTTCCTCAAAACCCTCCTTTTTTCTTTTTGCTGAGACTAGACAGACAGACAACAGACAGACAGACGACAGACAGACAGACAGTAAGATAGATAGACAGACAGACAGACAGAAAGACACAGACAGTAAGATAGATAGACAGACAGACAGACAGACAGACAGACAGTAAGATAGACAGACAGACAGACAGACACAGACAGTAAGATAGACAGACAGACAGACAGACAGTAAGATAGATAGACAGACAGACAGTAAGATAGATAGACAGACAAACAGACAGACACAGACAGTAAGATAGATAGATAGATCCAAAAGCCGTCACTGGGACAAACACACACAAACTCCTGGAATCTCCATGAGATGTAGCTTGCAGTCGTTTGATGCATCAGACTAACATCTGCATTTCCTGTGAGTGTCCCTGTTCCCTCCATTAACCACAGAAAGCTTCAGAGACGCATGTCTTAACAGCAGAAGCAATCAAAGCTCCTAGTGAAGACTGTCCTACTGGGATCTGCAGCTCCACACCCAACAGAGCTCAACACAGTCAGGAAAACAGCATTATTTAGAAGAGACCAAAAGATAAAAGTGTGTGTATTTAATGAAGATTTCGTATTTTTTTAAAGACACCCATAATAAAGAAGAAGAGCAAATGGGAGTCAAAATGAAAGAGGACTCATTTAGAGTTTCATCAGTTTATGGAAATAAAATCGGTTTGATTTTATTACTTCAATTGTTTTCTATTCAAACACCTCCTGGTTCCCTTTCAAGGGAACTTCGAACTGCGTCCTCTAGGGGTCGCTATGGGGAACGCCTTGTCGTGACCCAGAGAGAGAGAGAGAGAGAGAGAGAGAGAGAGAGAGAGAGAGAGAGTCCTGTCCTATTTACATTTCCGGTTGTGCCACAGCCAGGAAAGGTGCATGCTTGAGACATTACGTTCTTTACACTTTGACAGCATCTATTTGAGCTTTCAGTGGTTTCATGGGTCCAATTATGGTGAACAAACTCCTAATTTGCTGATTATTAATAGTAAGGTAGTTGTTAATTTTAGGTATGGGGTGGATTAAGGGATCTAGAACATGGTCACGCAGAATAAGGCATCAAAATGTGCTTTATAAGTACTAATAAACAACCGATATGCCCGTCATATGCATTTTATAGATTCAAGTTTAATTGCCTTTACTATATATATATATATATATATATATATATATTTCCCTTTCATGGGAACTTCGAACTGCGTCCTCTAGGGGTCGCTATGGGGGAACGCCTCGTCGTGACCCATGTCTGAAGCATACATTGAAAAATCACCAACAACACGTTGGCCAGCGACAGCCCATGACATAACTACCGGTGCGATTATAGTATAAATAGGCGCCGGGAGAACATGTCATTTTCTTCTTCGTCTTCACTGATCGTTTTGTTTGAAGCGTGCATTTCCATGGTAAGAGCGATCTATATTCCTATCGTTATGGCGAGCACTAGCAAAGCGTTTAGAGGGTGTGT